GAAGCACGTGTAAATAGTCGGCAAAACATTTAGGCTTAGACACAGGATGTGCCACCTGAGCTCACAGTGTCCGGGATTCCTGTTTTTTTGATATTGTTTTGATATAATAATGATTGACTTGCAAGAAAAAAGTTTTTCGTTAACTTCCGTCGAACTTCTACTCTATGAATGTCTCCAAAAGGGCGTTTAATTATATGCGCACCAACTGAATGTGTACATACAACATTAATTTACGAGACTAGTTTACCAACGATTCTTTTCTATGGAGCTTTATTGCAGCCGACAATAAACCCATATTCGACAATAGTTGTCCTATAGACAAACAGGGTACATTTTCCAATCTCATTAGAATAGTCTTTTTTAAAGCTGTTTAGACAGACCTGTGAGCTCAAGAATATGCGCGGTTTTCGCACTAAGGCAGAACAAACATCGTATTATAGAATGGAAGAAAGCCAATTATTATACTGCAAAGTAAAATTAAATTTAGCTTTCGATACTCATCCTTGAGAACAAAATATAGGCATAACATAGAGAACAAGGTAAACGAGAAGTCTTAAAAGGCAAATAATCAGTTTTCGCTTCTTAAACAAGAGCTCACCCAATTATAATAATATAGTCTAATTATTATCATATGCCAAGCCAAAAAGACACGTACAAAACGCCAGGATGGCAGAACCAGAGCAGCACTACTAGTATTTTTCTTTCAAATGAAGCTTATGTCAAATTTTCTTTCGTTTAAAAGCTATATAGGCGCAGGTTGCAAATGCCGTTGCACTGCGGCCGTTCGACTTCGGGTCTAGCAAGTTTCGGAGGCAAAAAGATGCCGTACGCTGGACCTGGAATGTCCAGGCTTGTTGGAAAACACGTGTTATTCCGAATTCGCCTATAATGAGGTATGCAGGAAGCAGCACCATTGTCTCAGTCCAATTCAAGGTGGAGGGTCGTTTAAATATTCGCAGGCGTTTGGGAACATTGTTTGAAATTAAGCGCGAGTGCATCGTATGCTGTCATAGTTTTGAAATTCGTCTAGCAAGATTCATTAAATCAAAGTAGTTAAATGATGCTGCTTAGCCAGCATGCATAGTACAACGAAATTAAAAGACTAACATTTTTTTTGTATTACGGCACCTCGAACCACGATCTTCATATAAACGAGTCCTCGAAATCACCTGTTTTCTGAGGTATAGCATCAGGGACTCTCCTCTGTTACGAATCCGGCCGTAATTAGCCGTGCTGGCCTTATCTGGATTTTTCCAACAGGACTATGAAGCGACATAGCAAACCAATTTTTGTAATAATTGCCTGTCGGTTTCCAGTTTCTTATTTTCCGGGTTATTTTTTTCCAGTAATAATACTTGCCAACGCTGAAATTGAGCCACCCTGGCCACTTGTTTGCCAGTTAATGGTTACCATGGCAACGCACTCGAAAAGGTGCACATCAGTTACTTACACCACATCACCCTTTAGCGTGCCCTTGTTAGCATACGAAATAGCGGACTCGAAGGAGCAGTTAGAAAAAAAAAAACCTTTCATCCGTTATCATTTTCAATATTTAAAGTTCAATACTGTATTTCATTTTGCACACTATATAGTTTACTCTATCTCCAAAAAAGCACGTTGAACAGTCACGTGATTGTCACTGTAAGCATAATTTGGAAATTACCGAAAAAATAGTAATAGCCTGTTTAATACATAGCTATTATATAATAATAAAATAAATACAGTCAGCCATTATTCTGACTGTCCGGGAAGGCAGCACTCTGCTTTAATTCACCTATTTCATAACGTGTTTCGTCAGTATATTTGTGCTCTAGTTTATCCCATCAAGTGCCTCTATGAACATGAATCCTCTATTTTGAAAAGCTTTGACGCCTGTGGTAGAGGAAAGAGGCAAAGGGTAACACCAAATCACGCGTACGTTAAAAATGAGTTTATCGAAGCGGGTACGAGTGCCATTAGGAGGATGCGGGTTTCACTTCCTTTAATATTGGTAATGTAAGCGGCAAGTCATGTCAGAATGGAGCGAGTAACTACAGTTACGGTTTTCAGCAACTTTTTGATCTTGAGATAAAAAAATAGAGCTTCAGGAGACCTTGTTAGAAGCATTTCCGGGATACAACGAATTAACGTGACGTCATTCGCGCTGGCTCTCACTGTTTTTGGGAAAATTTTTTCCATACGAAAGAGAGAGCGACGGAAAAGCTAATTCAAAGATGCACCCCCGGAGGAGGGCAAAACTAGTTTTATGTAGCTTTGCTGGATAAGGAGAGTTTGTTACGGCTGAAAATGCAATTCGTAGTCTCAGTGTACAGAATCGAGCTACTGAGCGATTTATACAATAGCAGTCAGTGCAATTGTTTCGGCTTCTATTAAGCCGGCACTGATCACGCATTACAACAAAAAATTGCCTATGGTGCACTCGAAACACATTCGGCTCTACGGCTACTGTTAGGTGTTTCGAGAAAATAGCTGATGACTTCTGAACTGCTGTTACCACGAAGTGCTATGAGAACTATGTTACTTCTATTATACTATTCTATTACTAGCATTATACTATATATATATATATATATATATATATATATATATATATAGTATAATGTTTACGCTGAAGATATATTTCTATGACGATCCTGGAAGACAAATATCAATACTAATATCGAACCTATAGTTATGTAATTTTCCTCTTCTCAGTACAGAACCTCGAGTCAACGTAGCATGACAGTGATTTTTACTAATTACCGCTGTCAGCTGCGTTCTTGGACGCACTTCTGTTGACGTTCTGTTGACATCCACAATACATATACATTTAAAAATGAAGGAGGCGTGAATGAATACCGTTCATTTTTGTCGGCCAGGAATATTTCGACAGCGGGACTTTCGCTTCTACCTGCAGCCTGGCGTTGACTGCTTAGCAATGCTAATGTCATGCATCTGCTCTCGCCAGACCCACTTCGCGCCGCCCAGTAAACTGCTTAGTGCAGGAAACGAAAATTCGCTATGTGGGCCCGCAATCAACGACAGGAAGAAAGCGTGAAGAATACTTTACTGTAATAAAAAAAAAGTATAGCTGACTTGGGTTCAGCTGGCGTACAAACACACGAGCAGTCGCTGTTCCGTGGCAGGAACAAATGTTTCTTAATCCGTAAAATACGTGCGCGCACAAGAGTCCGACTGAAGCGTGCGTTCGCCCCGTTTAGATTGTTATTTTACATCGCGATAAACTGACAAGCCATGTTCTGTCAGTGTTACCAATCTAGCAAATTGAAATATATTGCTGCGATCGTTTACGGGGCATGTCGACAGCCTGCCATGCTAAACCTTTGTAATATGTCCACGAAATAATTGAATTAAGTAATATTAACCATAATAATTACTACCATAACAATATATTTTTGAAAACAGACATAAAATTTCTAGCATTCAGTGATTAATATTAATTGATGTGATATAAAATTCATTTCTGCATTGTAGTATTGTATCAGACAAAGTTATATTCTATATTTATCAGAAGTTATAGGGCTTGTGATCACGGTAGATTATTATCAATCTAGTTAAACCAGCATTTTCGGTATAAATATTACAAACCAAATTCAAGGCGACTTCCACAGAAGACTTGTTTATCATCTGTGCTCACTTAGCTTAATTACACACTCGTAATAGTGGTAACTTGTAGGTTACCTTTCTAAATACGAACAAAAAAACGAAATCACATAGGTGGCTTCATTCGTTTTAACTGAATTCTCTGTTAAATGAGTTTTTATTTTTAAGTATGCTTCCTTATTTAGTCGCGTCTATCGTATAATATATGCGATTGGCGACGCTCAAACCGGCCAAAATTTTGGCCGCGCAAACCGCAGCGCTGGCGGCGCTACAACGGCACGCGATCGAGGTTACGGCACGACCTAATGCTGTTGCATCGAATTAGCATTGGTCCGCAATCACAAACGCGATGCATGCAAAGTTCGGTCTGCCGCGGTTGACGCTCAACGATTTTTTCTAGCTACCTAAACATTTTTTCTGACATAACATTATTATAAAGGTCGCAACCGTACCCCCATTTCTTGTTTGCGGCATATTCAGTTCTAGCGTTATGAACTTCAGCCTTCTCAAGCTTTAGCAGTGCTTTTTTTGCAGTCATATTTCTCCTGAATGCCATCAACCTATTCCGCTAAAATTTATAATATACTTGCCCCTTTGCCATTTTCGCTTAGAGATTTCGTTGTAGGTGTGTGCGTGTGTGCTAAGCAGTTTTTAAAGCAAGGGCACACAAACTGACTCCAAAAGATATCTTTTTTTGGTATAAAAATTGTCCCCTTTATGGACGACCGTTCACCAGATGATTATATATCCAGCCTTAGCAGGGTTACGCTGCGCAACTACTCTATCAGATGAGTTTAGGGGCTTCTATGAGGCGAAAAGGTAATGTCTCAGAAGAAACAATCTCTTAAAGATAAGGATGAATACACACATTGCACCGTTAAGCGGGCATGAGGGCCTTGCCATAATTAAGCACTGGATATATTATATCATACACTGTGACGGGTAAAATTAACAATCTATGATTGAAATCAGAACGAAAGGCTGTGAAATCCTTCGCGTCAGCCAGCAACAAAACTGGGCCAGTCGGCTTTAATTCATAACTAAATAAGGCTATTTTTCATAGGGAATTCGCCCAATATTTATACGGTTCTCGTACAATCACTATAGCATCAGTGTAGCGTACAGGAAAGTTCTGAGGGGAGCGCGTACTCAAAGCACTAACTTGAGTGTTCTTTTCTATTAGTGCAATTTTTCATAGCTGATAACGAATAACTTGCGCAAATCAAGGGTTGTTCTGTATTCCATGGCACTATTAGACATATCCCACCCAAAGTGTAGCAACATTCATACGCATTTTTCTGTCTATCGCCATCAAAAGCTAACAGTGGTTAGCTCGTTCGTTCCATCATTAACTTGCCACACTCCTTAAAAGTTCCACAACCCACTTTTATACTCACGTTCCTGTTTAAGATGGAATCCAGTCTACGCTGCAGGTATCTTCCGTAGTGTTCAGACCGTGGCGCGGTGGCGCAGGTCCAGATACGTTCAATCGTAGGGATGCCTGGATGATGTCTAAAGATAACGCCAACTTTTAGCACGTTCGCCCCAATGTCCTGATTTGAAAGCTGCGGCAGAAACAGCCGCCCTAGATCAAGACACTAAAATGGGTCTGACCCATTGAGACACCTGTTGAAAACCGCGCCGAAGGTGCTTCGATGCTGATCCATGATGCATGGCACGCGCTGTGCAAGTGGCATACGATCACAGTGGAGGGCAGGTTCCGATCAGGTCTGGCGTTGTCCGTACCGCAGAAAACAAAGACGCCAAAAATTACTAAATCGTATAGAATTGTTATAAAACTACTACCTGTCCTCAGAACGCAGTGTTAACGTGTGTAACGTAACTTGATGACGACAACGAGTATTTTACGAGTCACAAGGGAACCTTCCTTCATTACTGATTCGTGCCTAAAGGCCTGAGCAGATGAATACTTGATCCAGATAGTTAAGCCGTCCAGTTGAAAATCCAATAAATACAAAAACAACACGCACGTATAATTAAAATGTGCGTCAATTTAACAAACCGGTATTAAGAAAAAGATAAGTTTCTGGTTTATTAAATTAATACATGTTTTAGAAATCTGCTTAATAGGGACTCTATGCGCAGCTGATAGCGACTGACTGACAAAAGGTATTGCTCTTCTAAAAGCTTTTGAGTAACGCATGCTATTCTCAAAGAAAAAATCGAAGGGGTTACGTCAAAAAAAGTACGTACTAATTTTACCGTTTAGCTCCTCCTCCGGTACATGGATTCGGCTTTTCCTCAGGCCGTGCGTTTTATATGGGTCGAGCCAGGCGACCAAATACTTGCAATGTAAGTTGCTGCCAGTGAGAATAATCTGTGTGTGTATATACACCAAAAGGTTTGCTTCTAGATACGTTTAGAGATATTTAGATGTTTCGATATGTTTAGAATAGATGACGAATATAAACTGGTCATGAAGCTCGTTATGTATTATATGATAGGCTTGCTCTCGGTGAACGCCTGCCTAAGCAAAACTAAGCACGAAAACGGATCCATAAACTCTAGCGTTGAGGTAGTTGCTTTCAGAACGCGTCAATGAAGTGAAATCGTTTAATTCGTTTACAACAAACTGGGTAAGACAACAACTTGGGAGTATATACACAAGAGAATCGCATGCTGACTAAAATTCGTAACTAAAACTAAAAAGTTGAAGTCCAGCTTTCTACATTTAAAAAGCTTGTAGAGTTTAGACTGGCTAAGAGAAACAAGATTACTCGATAATTGTTAACAATAAATAATGCTAAAGCTAAGTAATTTTAACATAATCTAATCTGTTTTTGCCAGTGTCCTACGTAATGATATACCGATTCCCTAGAGTAACGTTCTGCATCATTCTAAAGTTCACTGAATTCGCGTATACCAAACAGGCCATTGTTATTACTAAAAAAAAAACGCGACGACGATTAACGAATGCTGTCCTAGATCAGAATCTAAAAAAGTTTTTCCATTTACATCGTGGATCGGTGGGTCCTTCAAAACGAAAAATCAACAACACGCGCGGCTAAAATGAACAATTCAGCCCTGAGGCCAAATCAGCATAGCTGTTACGGAATCAACTTTAGTGAACCAAGCGATTTGACAAAACAACGAATCAACTAGTTCTTAGTTTGAACCCTTGTAAACGTTCTAGTCCCTAACATAAAAGGTTTTTAGGAAATGTACTCCTCTAATAGGCCAGCAAGAAAATTGCATCAATTACCCGAAACGAACGATTATTTTGCTTTTTCTATTTTTGTTCGCCTTGTACGACGTCAAAAAGCTAATGCAACGTAGTAAAACCTTGCGTTAGAATCTCATGCTACATGAATTCGAATAATGTTTAGTGTGACGCGGTCCTTTTTCATAAAAGTATCTACAATATTTTAGATGCTGCCAGCAATAATCACCGACATAACGTTGCGCTGCGCGTAAATGATATTTATCCCTCACATGGAATAGTGGCTTCACGGTAATTTGCCATCGTCGTATTGACGAGGTGATGGCGTATTCTTTCTCTACTATATATGTGTTGGACACATTCTGCTAAACCGTCCTGTGGTGTTCTTGCCACAGCTTGCTATAACGAACAGGTAGGGGTATAAAGCTGTTTTGGCTTATTTTTCAAATAGTTAGGTGATATATCTGTCGCAGATGGTCCTATCCAGTAAAGAGAGTGCTATCAAGATGGAACAGGATTATCATACGATTCCGCTGGTCTCGCTAGCGGATTTGGATATTGCAGACATGTATAATTTGTGATCAGTATATTATCTGCCGATCTTCCTACGGAAAGAAGCTTGTGGGTATGGGGAAAGGGGAATGCTCGACTACAAGAGAATCGTTACGTGCGAGCGGAGCTGAATCAAGGAAAGATTGCGTTTTCACGATTACTCCAATAATAGTATCATTTTTTCCTTGGGATTTATCACTCTTATTACACACACGCACAGCTACCTGTGTTCTTTTTATGATCGATGCTGTACGAATACCATCCGCTCAAAGGCACTTCGTCAATATTTCTCCACATAAACGCGCGTTAAATTCGACACGTATTAACACGCCATAATTTTAACCTTTATGATATTTGCAATATAGGCCTGAGGGACTTCGTTCGAGTGCTAAAAATGGATAGATTAATTTATATATCTTCCTTTTTCAAAAACAAATCGTCCATGCGACGTTTACTATTGTCACCGACCGTTACAAGAACTATACGATCGCGAAGCTAAAAAAGCGGTACACTGTGTTCGGACTCCCGGGTAATTTAGAAATTAACAGAGTAAATGAGCCTTTTAATAAATAAATGAATATATTTCTATATATTAACAACCATTCTAATACTCCGTTAATTTAGTCATATAATTTCCGACAGATCTGAGAAAATCGTATTTTTATTTCTTAATTGGAATAAGTAGTAACTTAATTAGCATATGCAGTTCTTCTTCAATTAAATAGACAGCAGTGACATTTTGGTGGTCCATGAGCTAATAAGATTATAGCAGTTCCGAATGCCTGCACGAAGAAAAAAACTTCCCTCACGTAACAGTCAGCCGGCGCGTCCCACGGACTTCCTCACGAGGAAAAGTTCTCCCAGTTCCTTCAAATTTTATCCATTTCTCTTTCTTCGTTCATTTAGTAGTGATTTCTCATTTTTATTTATGTCCTTCATAGTCCAGACGTCGCCACTAGTTCAAAAAATGCCGTCTGCTTTGCAGACATATTACCCGGCATACGATCATTCTCACTCTCAAAGTAAGCGATTTTCGAATCGATAGTTTTATGTCCATAGTTGTTTAACTGGCTGTTGGTCTAGAAACTTCGCCTATGCGTTACGGTGTTGTCATTTATACGATAATTTCTACGGACAGAGATATAGAAAGAGGTTGGTCAATTGGTGAGAGACTTTTTTCCCCTGAGACGACAATCCTCTGCCAGAGCACCATTAACGTGTGATGGTGCACAGAATCGCGTAGCACACTTCTGTTCTGCGTGCACGCATGAAACGAGTTCCGCGCTATTGTTAAGCTTGAATACTGATTGATGTGTGGTTCTGATCAAATAGTGATCTGAACAAAAGCACTTCTCATTAGACGGAAACGCCCTCGTTATACGCTTATTGCCAAATCGTTTACAAGCTATAAATCAAGCCTCTTCAGTTCCCAGCTATGGCGTTTAGTTTTTGGAAGAATCGTAGAAATAAAAAAAACATAGTTCAATCACGTAAAGTGGCCGATGAGCTGAAGAACGCTTGTCATATCGGTGACCAATTGTGGTCTATTATTAAAAGTTCCCAGCAAGAAGCTAATCAGTCACCACTGGATGAAGACTTTTTAGAAGACTGTGTCGAGTTGGTGTGTACTCGGAAAGCAAAGGACCAAGAAAATCCCCCACGAAAGTTCGTCCACCGATGTGTATTGAAGACTTACTCACCATACTTCAGAGAACAGCTGCGCACCCATAAGAATGCGAAAAGTTTACGAGTCGACGTAATGTTGTCAACGCTAGACCAAATTTTGGAATACATTTATACGGGAAAGCCACTTGGTCTTTACGGTTCGAACTGTGTACAAGTGTACGCAATCGCGACAAAGTTTTGTCTCGACGAGATAGCCAAGGAGGTAAAAAATTTTATTCAAACGAATATAAAGGGTTTGCTGGAGGATCCGGATTTTCTATTGAAAGATTGTTTAGCGGATGTCCAGTCGCTCGCAGATGTGTTCAAGGAGTTGGCAAGTGAGGGCGAGATACAGCTACGACTAGTACGAAAGCTCCACCAATGGTACTCATCGATAGAAAGGGTTCCTACGGATCTAGAGGAGAATCGTTCGTTCTCGGTTTTGATAGGCAAAGTTCTTGCAGTGAAGCGCAGTGAAGATTCCTTACGGGATGACGAACAGAAATCATCGCAGATAGAAGCTGATCTCGTGCCCCCGCCGACGAGGAAACTCAACTTTAAAGAAAGGCTTAAAAAGACGTTGACTGGAAGAAAGCTATGAAAAGTCCAGTAGAGCCAATTTAGCTTAGATTCAATTAAAGTAATACGCGAAATTTTGAAAATTCACGTCGCACAAAAGCACGTACATTAGGGATGTGATCTTAGTAATAAGGCCGATAGCTAAATGAAATCGTTCAGTAGCTTAGTACGAGACACTAAGCGCGTGTTGATTACTTGGAGTTGGAACATAAATAAACGATGTGAGTCCGGTTAGCCAGAGCAACAGAATAAAATCGATAACCACTCAAACCTATTGCGATGTTGTTGCGCTAGCTAATTTTTCCGAGTTTTTTGTACGAAATTTAAGCAGTACGTTTTTATATCTATTTGCTGAGTTTTAATCCATTTTCTTGCTTCACAGTACCTGTGTCGCAAATACCAATACAACTAGACCAATAATCACAAAAGAAACAATGCGATCTGGGGTCCATTCCCAGTGTGAGATATGAGAGGGACTGCAGTTTCATAAACAACGCGTCCGCAAATGTGCCAAGATTAGGTAATTAATTTTCATGACGTTAATTACTAAGCCGTTTTTGCAGATGGCAGCCCATATATCTATCAATAACTATTGTAAGCGTCGTAATGAGGTCGAAGATCCGCCGTAGACACTCGTTTAATCGTATTTTTACTGACTGTTCATCGAAAAGTCCCACAACAGAAGCCCATTTTGGCAGCTGAATCATTTTTCCAATGAGAAAAAAGAAGCAGAGACTGGACTGATTCAACACT